ATGACGAGTGTGCGTGCGGGCGGTGCATGGCGCTCTCTCCCTCACTCTCACGCGGCCACCACCGCAGCAGCAGCCGCACACGCAACAACAAGAAGAAGCAAAAGAGGGGAGGTGGTGTGGGAGACCGCGGTGCTGCCGTCACTGTCGCCAACCTTTTCCTTATTTACACTTTGGCGTTTTTCCGTCTGTGCAGTATCGGAAGGTTGAGAATTCTCCACAGTAGTCTTTTCAACGGATGTTTCCTTCTGAAGTGGGGAAGAGCTGTCATTTGAAGATGTCGCTGCTGCTTGTTCTTGACTGCCAGTTGATATACCCTCCGCAGCGTCCGAAGTGGATACAGGATCCTCGTTATTTCCCTCTTGTTTTGCAGGTGAATCCGTGGATGCACTCGTGTTCTGTCTGCCATTCTTCTCTTTTTCTGGATTCGTTTTTGGATGATCAGTTTTGGGTTCCGGCAGAGGTGCGTTTGATAATTCCGGTGAGGCTTTTTCTTTTTCTTGTAATTCTTTATTTGGATCTTCTGGTGAATTAACTGTTTGAAGAGTGTCTGAATCCCCGTCTTTTTTCTCTGGTTCTTCCGAAGAGCGCTCTTGCTTAAAAACCAATGTAGAAGTGTCGCCAACATCTTGCCCCCTTGTTGTATCAGAGCCCCGTGACTGCGTTTCAACGACGGGCGTATCCGCTGCCCTTTCGTTGGGCAACTGGTGACTCTGATCCTTTGCCTCATCTCCTTGCAAAACTTTTTTTTCGGATTCACTTTGCGAGGTAGATGAAAGACTGACACTGGTCTCCGTGCCAACACGGGGGTCAGGTGACGAATCACCACCAGGAGTGACAGGCCCCGAAGGATTACCTCCACCACCGGAAGCACCAGCAGGAGGAGGGAAACCAGCACCAGGTACAGAACCAGCTTGACTGCTGCCAGGAGCACCTTGTCCAGCAGAATTTACACCGCTTCCTCCATCATCTCCTCCTGGAGTGATGTCGGGACCCGCATCTTCTTCAGAATCTTCGGCTTGTATGGCAGGAATGGGCAACGCTGGACGCAAAGAGAGCGTCGGCGCGTTTTTATCACAACCGCTCGCCAAATACGATGTTTTCTTTCCAAACCCTCCCGGCACCATACAGACACCCTGTGCGTTGTTGAGAGTGTCCCTCGCATAAACCCCACCGGCACCGCACCACAGCACGCAGAGGGCACACACCAGCAGCACACGGCCAGTCATCATCATCGCCATCACTCCTGTCACTTGCGTGTAGCCTTCAGCACAAACTAACTCCCCGTCAACGCAGAGTGAAAGGAAAAAAGGAGAGACAAGCCACACAACCACACACCGTAACAAGTGACAGAAGTCCTGCAGATGCACGCACGTCGACCTGCAAACCAGAAGTAAGAAAGCAATACCAAAACAAAAAAAGTAGTTGATTGCCCAACTGGAGTCCCTCCGCAAAAAAAAACAAAAACACCTCAGCAGCTTTTCCATTTCATACGCCATGCAGCTCAGCAGGTCTGTGTTTTTGTATAAATATTGCCTGCATGAGAAAAAAAATTTTACTGCTCCACCAGCCCACACAACAATCTCCACAATTCATTGCGGCATCCGGCCTGTTCCTCCAATCCTCCTTTTGTGCAGTCCGTGGGACGCACTGCAATGAGGCCGGCACCGCGTGTGGGCAACAAACAACAAAACAAAGAGGCACGTCAAACATGAGAGTGTGCAGCAACCGAACATTAAATAAATAGAGGGTTCTTATCATTCCAGGAAAACAACAGCAAAAAACAACACTAACAAAAGTAAAAAGCAAGCCCGCAGAAAACGCGGCACATATTCTCCGTGAGAAATCGCAAATCCACACTCCGTGTCTCAGAAGACTGCCACAACTCCACACAGTCCCAAAAGCAGAAGCAGCAGTGGTTTCTCCACACACAAGATGATAATTTCGCTGCTGTCCACCGTCGGCAAGGACATGTCACCTTCGAACAAGATTCCTCTGCTCGCTTAGATCCTCTTTTTTAAAGCAGATGTGCTCTGTGTGGCGCTGCTGCACGCACCGCTGTTTGTCGGCTCCTTGGCGGCGGGGCGGGTGCCCGAAGACCACGGATACTGTCCCATCGCTGCACACATCGGTGGTATTGGGCGTCGTGAGGTCAGGAGTCAAATATTCCTCCGTTCCTACGGAATTATTCGTGCCATCGCAATCCGAAAAGCTCCTCGCCGCAAAATCGCAGAATATCGCATTGAAAGCCTCCTCTTCCGTTAGATCTCGACTGTCTTGTTTCTTATCAGTACGACACGCAGTCCAGCTGCTCTCGCCGACTGGGCGCCAGTGCACACTGGGATCTTTGCTTCCACACAACAACTCCGTCTCCACACACGCCACACAATCATCATCGTTTTTCGCGTACAAGAGGAGCAGTAGTAGCAGTAGCAGTAGTAGAGTTGCTGAAATCGATGAGCAGATCTGCGCACAGAGCGGAGAATAGAAGGGCAAAAAGAAAATAGAAAGAGGTGCAGCAAAAAGACACACACACATCGTCCCGGCGTCGCCGTTGCGTGCGCGGTAATGATGCGACCTCCCGTGGCAGGTACAACTCGAACACTGCAGGCATTGCAAAACGGGATCCACACACGAAACACACACATAACGACATAACAGCCACCAAAAACTAGAAGGAGGAGAGAACCACAACCATCTCCCCCTACTTGCACAACAAACGGCCCTCCACTTTTTAAGCAATATAGTTTCTGTGGGCTCGCCATCGTTCCGCTGCACGCTCTCAGCGCCCACAGTGGGAGTCAGTACATCGTACAGGTGAAAAACAAAACCTGTCTCACTCCCGTCGGGGAAAAAAAACAAAATTACCATGACGACAACAACAACGGTGCAAGGGTGTCGCATCGGATGATACGATGGCGTTGTTGGCGTCCAGATAAATGACGCGTACCCTCGAAAATACGCGTGGAAGATATGGCACGTAAGACTGCTGAGTTGCGTCCGCAGATAAACGGTATTCGGAGCCAGCCCTCTCTTTCTCGGTGGCAAAAATGGGTCAAGAATGTCGTTAGAGAGGCAACAGTGCAGACGGCAGGGTAGAGCAACGTACCGCACACGGGACCCAAATATTCGACTGCCTTGTCCCTGGAAAAGTACAACCAACTTGGCCAGGGTTGTCTCGCTCTCTGGCGATGGCACATTCAAAAAAAAAACTCACAGTATTGAGGGGACTCGAAAAAGCCCCAACGTGCGTGCTGCGGCTCCACGAGGATGTGCACGGTCTGCATGTGTCCATGCAATTCACAGCCGATAGGCGCATTATAGGGGATACTGCTTGAGTGCGCCAAACGACGGTTACTTGCCTCATGCCACATCACAAGCAGGCCGTCCCTCATCAATTCCCGCAGGATTCGCCTACACTCCTCCAAGGAGTACTGGGGGCATCCGTTGTGCTGCATGCGGAACGCATCATCTTCCACAAAGACTTCATTCACTAAAAGGCCGCGGTTAAACAGCCCGTCCACAATAATCCTCAAAGGACCGCCACCCACCGCGTGCTGAGGTGGAAAACGCACGCGATGAATACGTCTCCGGTAGGTTTCATCGTGAATACACAACCGCTATTCCCTCCGTCACAGCGTCATCATCAACACAGCAACAACGCGCCAGTGCCGGCTCTGTTGGGTACAATGGGAGAGAAAGTCCCATTCTCCAAGCCATGATGTCAACAAGAGAGTCAGACGGCTGCTCTGCCATGGCGATAAAGTGTCCCATCAGGCGCAGCAGAATATCAGAGTCAAGCTGATTGGAAGGCTCGGCTGTCACCCCACCAATGAAAGAAATGCGCGCCACCACGCGATGCTCCGCTGGCAGTCCGCCTCCATATTGTGTTCCCTCAGTAACGGACTCTGCGTCAGCACTCTCGCCACACTGGTAGGTCTGAATTTTTATCCCGCAAGGCACGAGTTGCTGCCACCGCATGCTCCTCCCCTGTTTGCTCACCACCCATCGTCATGCGGAAGCAGCAAGTGAGGCAAACCTCGGTTTGCTCCGCCTGAAATTTTCCCGGCATCTGCTCAATTCACCGCCATGGAAAACCGGCGATGTGCAGCGGCGGAGCATTTGATCGTTTCAGCAAACAAATTGGAGAGAAAGGGCTCAAACAAACCCACAAGACTCCCAACAAGAAAAGGTACACACGGCATGACTGACACGACTCAGAGTCATGTTTCTAAAACAATGCGTGGATGACTCTGTCGACGCCACACCCGCACCATATGCCATCAACTCCTCCACGGCAATAATCCTGCAGAGTGCGGAGAGGACGTTTCACGAGCGCATTATTGGCGGAGCCAAACAACTGTACCGTCAGCAGAGGGCAGCGGTTGGCGGGGGAAAGTGAAAGTGGTGGGACTGTTGGTGAGGGTCGATGCGCAGTGTCCCCCACAAATACGAGGCGGGTGAAGTGAAACACACTCGTCTGAACGTCACCGGCCACCAAGATGCATTGCTCCCTGCTGTAAATATTGATGAGCTCGAGCCTGGAGCAACTACTCGCAATGCGTGAAAGTGTCTTCCTGCACTGACGCTGCGATTCACATTAGACGGGCAACTTCAGAACAGTCGATCCCCAGCAGTAAAATGCAGGTGGCAGTGACGCTGTGGATTCTCGATTCCCCCGGCAACGGAGGGTGAAGAAGAAAACTGGTCTCCCCAGCTGCGCGGCATCCATCCATTCACTCTGTGAGCTCGGAGTGCCTCGCAGCTGCCTTGAGAGATGCAGCGGACAGACCTCCCTTATTTTCGCCTCGATCCGTCAACGAAGACTTTCGCGGAGGTGTCGGCACACACCGAAGTCTCCCTCGTGCCCACCAAACAAAAGACACACCCGTTGAGCATCGTCACGTGCATCGACGGCCACGCAAATAAATATCCACCGCAACGCAAAGTGTTTCTTATTGGGCACCAAAAGAAAACTCGAGGCGGCCTGGACAACACAGACATCAAATCACACGCCAGGCAACGCTGAAATACATGCGAAAGGGCCAACGCAGGACCAGCAGCACAAACACTCGAGAGCTGCTGCGTGAACTCCACGGCAAATGGATCAGCCTCAACGCATGGGCACTAATTACGGCGGGTGACAGCGCGAAAGCCAACGGTTCCGCAAGGCCGGGAATTGTGGAGACGGCATTCAAACCCTCCTGGGATTCGTGTGCAAAGACACGCAAATAATCCGCCCCTCGGTGCAAGTCGTCACCATAATCCTCATCGCTCTCTTTGCCGTCATTCGTATTGTCACACTCAAAGCCGTTGAGGAAAGATGCTTCCATGATGATTGTGACATCACACTGAATGAAACAACGCAATGCCTCGAAGGGCGCCGAGTGCAGGCATCCCGTCAGGCAGTGACACGGCGCATTCTTAGCAATGTACGAAGCACAGGCAACGAAACAGCTTTCATCCGCCATCGTAATCGCGTCCAGCAGGTTCGCCCTCTTGTTCCTCGGCGCCTCGACCTTCTCCGCAGCACCAACAGCCGCTGCCATAGACCACGCTGCTGCTGCAATCACTCCCACAGAGAGACAAGGAAGAGTGTGTGGAAGTGTGTGCCGAGAACACAGCGACTGTCATCGCCAGAGGAGACCATCGTTGCACCGTCCGTCACGCGCCAGCACACACCGAGCAAAGCACGTACTCGGCAGTGCAAATACATTCTTGCAGAGCACTGTGCAACTACTTATGTGTGTGGGTGTGTGATGGAAAAGCAAAAAAAAGGAGGAGCACAGGGAGACACATCAACATGGCAGGAGGCACAGCTGGATGGCAGCGATACATGCGGTACGGCCCCAACCTCAACAATCACGCACGGTGGCAGCACACACCCATCCACAAAAAAGAAAACAAAAAAACACGGCGGCAGGGTGTGGCTGTGTGTGTGTGTGGCGCTGCGGGTGTCTGCCCGCCCTGACCGCAAGAAAACAAAACAAGAGGGAAAGAAATGTGTGCTCCGCCCCACCGGCCCTCGTCGCACGCCCACACGTCACGGCTCCCTCAGTGCACCGTTCGTCGCGGCCCCTCGTCATGCGTGCAGCAGGCGAGGCGCACAGGGCCGTCGTCACGAGCGTGTCGGTGGGTGTGCGAGTGGAGCAGTTGGGCGGGAAACACACGGCACCCCTCACAGGAAGAGTGCAGAAGAAGCAATTAAAAGAGGGAAGAGTAGAAAAGAAAAAACGTCCATAGTGATTGCCCGCAAAAGCAAAAAAAAAAAAGAACAAAAAGAACAGAAGAGGGATTAGAGATTTAAAACGCACAAATTAATAACAAAAAAAAACTAGCAAAAAAAAAAATTAAAGCAAACAGGAAAAAAAAAATTAAATTTACAAAAAACAAAAAGCCGAAGCGTGGGACGACCAGCGCACACACTCTCATTGCTCCCGTAAAGCAAAACACACACACACACAGAGAGAGAGAGGTCGCCCACTCAATGCAATGGAAACAAAACAGAAACAGTTACGGTGCTCCGCCCATGCTGCCAGGCAGGACGGCAGCGGTGCGTGTGGTGCAAAAGAGAGCACCAACGGGCCTGCATGGGTGTGCATGCATATATACAATGGGCACATTATGTGTGTGCCTCGTGGGGTGAGGTGAGGGCGAGAGTCCATGCAAGGGGAGACACACACAGAGAGAAGGACGAGTGTGTGTGCGGGCGGTGCACGGCTCTCTCTCCCTCACTCTCACGCGGCCACCACCGCAGCAGCAGCCGCACACGCAACAAGAAGAAGCAGAAGAAAGGAGGTGGTGTGGGAGACCGCGGTGCTGCCGTCACTGTCGTCCTTAATTGCAGTTGCATTTGTACCATTAGCAGTTTTTTCTTTCGGGGATTCTTCGCCATTTCCTGCGGAATGTTCACGCTGTTGGTGTTGCTGCTTTTCATGCTGTTCTTTTTCTTGTCGTTCCGGTTCGTGTTCTTGTAGAAGCTCTTGTTTTTCTTCAGAATGGTGTTCGACTGAATTATCCTGATCATGTGTTGCTGTTTTTGCTTCTTCTCCGACTGTTGTACCTCGCAGTGATTCCGCTGCTGCTGCTTCCTCTGCTGCCTCTGCTGCCTCTGCTGCTGTTTCTGCTGCTTTTTCGGCTTCTTCTTTTGCTGCTGCTGTTGCTTTTGCTGCTTCTTGTGTCGCTGCTGCTGCTTTCTTTGCTTCTGCTTTTGCTGCTTCTGTTGCCTTTGCTGCTTCTGCTGCTGCCACTGCTGCTGCCGCTGCTGCTGCTTCCGCTGCTGCTGTTGCTTTTGCTGCTTCTTGTGTCGCTGCTGCCGCTTTTTCTGCTTCTGCTTCTGCTGCTTCTTTTGCTTTTGCTTTTGCTTCTTCTGCTGCTTTCTTTGCTGCTTCTTTTGCTTCCTCTGCTGCTCCTTTTGCTGCTGCTGCTGCTTTTGCTGCTTCTGCTGCTTCTGTTGCTGCTTCTTGTGTCGCTGCTGCTGCTGTTGCTGCTTCTGCTGCCGCTGCTGCTGTTGCTGTTACTGTTTCTGCTGCTGCCGCTGTTGCTGCTTCTTCTGCTGCTTTTTCTGCTGCTGCTTTTGCCTTTGTTGCTGCTTCCGCTGCTGCTGTTGCTTTTTTGGCTGCTGCTTTTGCTGCTTCTGATGCTGCTGCTGCTTTTGCTTCTGCTTCCGCTACTCCTGTTACTTTTGTCGCTGCTGTTTCTGCTGTTTCTGCTGATGTTTTTGCTTTTGCTGCTGCCTCTGCTGCTGCTGTTGCTGCTGTTGCTGTTTCTGTTGCTGCTGCTTTTGCCTTTGCTGCTGCTTCTGCTGTTGCTTTTGCGACTGCTGTTTCTGCTGCTCCTGCTGCTCTTTTTTCTTCTCTTTCCTGCAATCTCGCAACTGGAATAAATAATTCTTTCAGACTGTTGTCGTCCCCACCAGAAACAACAACATCTCCATCAGCAGCAGCTCCAGAAGTACCGCACCACAGCACGCAGAGGGCACACACCAGCAGCACACGGCCAGTCATCATCATCGCCATCACTCCTGTCACTTGCGTGTAGCCTTCAGCACAAACTAACTCCCCGTCAACGCCGAGCAAAAGCAAAAGAGAGAGACAAGTCACACAGCCGGGCATACTGTTCCATCCAGGAATGAGAGTCACGCAGAGTAAAAAATAACAGCAACGCACACAAAAATGAGACAGATGGAATCAGTACAATTGCAAATCTCGAACGCCGCCCTGCAAACCAGAAGTTCTACAAAGTAAAAAAGCAAAAATTAAAAAAGAAAGCATCCAAGGGCTCCACCGCATGCACATACGGCGAGAGCGGTCCGTCGTGTCGGCACCCCTCACGGAGGGTACGCACACACACAAGAGGAGGTGCAGCGCACACACAGCAACATAAAAGCAAAGTAACAATAAAAAAGGTGATCCCCGCACACCATGTGGATTGTTGGTCCACGGAAAGTGCAGCCAATATTCATCATGTAAACAACTTACATTATGTTTACTCTTCTTTGCGTGTTGTGCCGGCAATCGGTGAGTAGCGCAAGGGCCTTCCGCAATAAAGTGTCAATTATTCCGTCGCAAGCAGGTCGTCGTGCAGGCTGGAGCAGTCCCAAACAGTCACAGTCAAAATTCCCAACGACGGGGCATTACCACAGTGGATGAGGCGAAGTCTCCCGTGGTCCGTCGGGGATCAGCAGCACGTGGCGTCTGTGATGAGGCAGTGGCGGAAGGGCCTGGTCCACCTCGAATGCCCGCGCTCGTGCTTCCTGCGTGTCTTGCCTGCTGGTATGCTTGGATCTTTCGGAAGCGACCTGCGCGCGAGGCGCCTGTTAAGAAGACGGTGGAGCCATTGCGGCATGCAAAGTTGAGGCCCTCTCCCACTATCGGAACGCCAGGCCGAGCACGTCGAGCATGTGCCGTCATATTGCGGACAAACGAGCGCGCTCCGCCGCCGAGTGAGCAGGAGGACGTCAATCCGCCGCTCGCTGGTCGGAAAAGGGTTGCGGCGCTCACGTCGGGAAGAGGACACGGCGGAGGCAGTGGCGGGCCGACCTCCTCAGTGAAGAAAGGACGGCGCCACCGACACAGGGAGTTACTTGTGATCTGCAGGGCGCGTGCGGGCCCGTCGGAAAGTGGGCAGGGGTCGCATCGCGCCTGCGCGCGGTGCCGTCACTGGGGGCACGATGCCCGTGTTGACACCAGGAACACAGCCCTCGCCACACCGACAAGCGCCTGTCATGCGGTGTGTGCGGCTTCCTTTTACTCCTGGACATCTTTCCAATACAGCCGCCTGACTGCAGCGAGGAAGCCCACGCGCCAGGCATTGACGCAGTCCTGCGGGAGGGATCGCGCCATGACGGCGTCAGCGTCCGCTGTCACGTTGCGTGGGATTCCGCAGTGTCATGAGGAAAATGTGGAGCCAACAGCGTGACCTCGATCCGCCAGTGAAAGCGGCACGGTGGAACTCCTCTCGGTGACGTCGTTGTGCACCGCCAGCGGGCAAAGGCGGAGCACCTCCATCGCCGAGAGGGAGTCTGTGGCGACAGGAACTCGTGTGGGCGATTGGGATGCTGCTGCCAGGCGCGGAACTGAAAACTGTCTGAGGCCATGCTCAGTGGCAGGACACTCCGCTCGGCAGGAGCATGCAAGGCTGCCAGCAGCTGCGCGGTGAGGCCTCAAAGGGAGCGCGGCTGTCCGGGGAGTCAAGTGGCAGCGCAGCGGATCCAGACGCATGCTCAGCGAGAGACGACGAGCCGTCCGTCCAGCGGTCTGCGTCATACGACCCCAGAGAGGCGCAGGCCGCTTCAACGGCCGATCGTCTGACACCGTCCGGGGCGTCCTTGGCGTGCCGTGGCTGGAAGACGCCCACCCCGTTGCGGCTCACAGCGTCCCGGGCAACAATTCGCTGCTCAGCATGAGGGGCGCAAATGTGGTCTGGGAGATCCCCATGTGGCCGCAGAAGCGTCGCGGTTCCTTGAGGACGGCATCGCCCGGCAGCGGAATACTCGTTTCCGCCTTCCTAAGTGTTGGCTAAACTCTGGTTTCCAAGCAGATCACGCCACGCACGTCCTCAATATGTCGGAGAAGTGGGGGGCGTTCGTGCTGTGTGGGTGCGCGGAACTCAATGATCCTCCGCAGCGCTGTTTAATTGGCTTACAGGCGGACAGAAGCATCCTTCGCTGATGCGCGTTGGCCGAGCGATGTCGCACTTCCAGGCTGTGGAGGTGAGTGGGGGCCGGACACGGCGCAATCACCTCGACACCGTGGTGCAAAACACACTGTGGACGCAGCCGACCAGAAAGGACTGCATGGTGTGATGGGACGCACCAGCTCCTGTGCCCAGCCGCGGCCGATGGCAGAGTGGTGCGGTCTACTTTTGTTTTTGTGTGAGGAATTTTGCTGTTTTTTAAATTTTGGTACGGGCCGATGGTGCATTGGCGTTTTCTGATTTGTTAGGAGAATTGCGTTTTGAAGAGGCCGTTGCAGGTGTTCAGCGTGTTTGTGAATAACAGATGTGCGCCTGTCTCCGTGAAGGCGACAACAATGTCCCAGGATGACAGCATAAAGCACTGCGGCTTTATCTGGTGTTTTACAGCAAGTTTAATGGACAGGGTATTTGATTTGCGGTTATTGGGTCTTTTGTGGGGAGGGTGGGAGGTTGAGGGCATGAGGACTGAATTCATTTGAGTGTCTGCGTTCCGTTGACTTGCGGCCAGTTGTGGCACTCTTTTGGGGTTTGGCGGCTCGTCTCTTTTGTTTACTTCCCACTGCAGCACGTGGATAACACTGATGCGAAGAACATTTGTTTGACCGCGTGTGGGCTGCTGCCGTGCGTGGTGCATGGACTATGTGATTGTGTGGGGAAGTGCATTGGGGTGACGAATACTTCTGTTTGGCGTGTCGCGGTGTGTCGGAATGATGTTCGGATGACATGTGAAGGGTGTTTTTTGTGATTTGTGTGTCTTCTCTGGTGGAGCCGACATGTGTGCGGGGATTGTGGCATTGCTGGCTGACAGTTCCACGTCACTTTTCAGCATTCCTGGATGTGCTGAGGAATGACGGCTGGCGACCAGCGTGTTGGTGCTGCTGGTGGGAATAAGTGCATCGGGAATAGGCCGTTTTCTCTTTTCCGTGCTGGAGCCGATGAACTGGCACGAGGGCACCGGCTGCAGGCTGCCTGCCAGCACGTGTGAGCAGCGGATCCATGCACACACCGACGCTCATCGCAAGAGCGTGTGCAATCACCGTGGCCTTTTGTGGCGTGCTTTTGTGGACGTCAGCCCATCGAAGAATGTGTGAAGCAAACGGCTGACTGCACACGAGGAAAATAGGTGCGTGCACTGTGCCGTGTTTCAGCGTCGATGGCAGAGCGACAGGAAGCCCGTGCTGGCAACTGAGATCTTTGCGTCGCGAGGGATGTCGGTGTTGATTTTGGATCGTCGAGGGTGAAGTGATTTTGCTGCTGCCCGTGTGTGTGGCCACTCCGGCAGAGGGCGGACACAAAAGGGAGGGATGCAGGCGCTGCGTGTGTGTGTGTGCAGGTGCCATGCAACAACGTCACAACAAACATGCTGCGACTCGGTGACCCTCACATTGTTGTGGTCCTCACGAACAGCCGAGGCACGGCGCACACCGATGCACTTAGTGGACGGAGTGAGGCATCTTTTGAGGCGCTGCAGGGGACAGGATGTGTTGACGCAGCCACGACGCGCATGGAGTGTCACGATGGCACAGTCAGCTGTGGCTGGTGGAATATTTACTTCTCGGAGGCAACAGAGAGAGAGAGAGAGAGCTGCTCCTGCTGCTGGCGTCGTTGCTGCCTCTTTTGGCCTCCCATGCCGATTATTGTCTGTCCGCTGATCATGGGTGGCATGCCTCCACTAGTGACGTCGTCTGCAGGCATTTCACAGCACCAGTGAAGCACACATCACGTCGCATGCTTTGGCTGTGGATATGGTGTCGTGAGTGCAGCCGGCATTATTTTGCCCGACTCCTTTTCACTGCTTTGCGACGAATAGATGCGTCGCCGCCCGAGTCATTCACTGCAGCTCCGTGTGTTGTGCTGCCGGCACAAGACTCTCTTGTTGTCTGACGCCTGGATGACAGTCGAACACCACTGCGTTGGGACATGCAAGGATTTGGACTGCCGCTCACGGTGTTGGGCACCGCTGTTTGGATGCGGCGGCCACACGAGCGGATGTATTGTGGCACAATCAAATGCGTGAAGTACGCGGAATCACAGCGGCTGCAATAATATCAGCGGTGTGGCACCACGGAGTATGTGAGAGGGTGATGCATGATGAATCACAGTGGGCGGCATGCGAGGGAAGTGCACCGCGACAGAGCGTCACCCCGCCCTCAGCCTGCAGGGGAATGTGCACCCACAAAATATATGGGCGAGACACAACCAAACACACGTGCCCTTCCATGCACCAATAAATAGGAGCGAAGGTGCGTTCTGGTGTGTGGGAGTCCACTCACATATTTTCATTTCCACCGCAATAAACGGTGAGGAATCGGGTGCCAAAGCGACGAAAGGAAAAACAAACATCTATTGCATCACTTTACCAGCGAAGGGCAGGAAAAACACAAACCGAATTATTGGCTGCACCAACACAAGAAACATTCACAAGAGGAAAGAAAATAATTGTGCACCCTGCAGAAATCCCCAACACACGACCCAGGCATGAAGGCTTACCCTCTGAAAAGACAAAGAAAAAACGCATGCAGGCATCTGCCAGCATTCAAACTGAAACGCAAATAAATGGTTGCTTGTATTATGCCATTCCTTGCGCTTTTTTTTTGCGTGTGCGGCTGCTGCTGCTGTGGTTCCCAGGCCTGCATGAAGTGTTGTGCGCTGAATATGAACGAAGACGAAAGGCAACTGAATTATTTTTGTGATGAATATTGGCTGCACCTCCCGTGGACCAACAATCCACATGGTGTGCGTGGATCATTCCTTTTTTATTGTTACTTTGCTTTTGTGTTGCTGTGTGTGCGCTGCACCTCCTCTTGTGTGTGTGCGTGCCCTCCGTGAGGGGTGCCGACACGACGGACCGCTCTCGCCGTGTTTGCATGGGGTGGAGCCTTGTGTGCCGCTCCTGTTTGCTTCTCCCTCCTCCATCTGTGTGTTGGTGTTGCGGCAGGGCTGTGTGTGTGTGCCTGCTGCCGTGGATTGGAGTGTGTGTCGTGCGTGGTGTGCGGTGTACGGTGCATGCCTGGCTGCTGCCCTCTCCTCATGTGGTGTGCCCTCTGTGTGTGTGTCTGCCGCACCTCTCATCTCCCTGTTGCTCTCCATGTCCCTCACTGTGCAGATCAGCTCCACACCACTGAACGACCACACTCACGATGATGACGTGCCGTCTGCTGTGCGCCCTGTTGGTGCTTGCCCTGTGCTGCTGCCCGTCCTTATGCGCGGCTGATTCACCGGAGAAGCCTTCCGTTTCCGAAGTTCAAGTTGATGGTAAAGGCACCGGTCAATTGCCCCATACACCTGGAGAAACACCAACCACGATCGTCGGTTCGGCAGTTCCGGGGCCGGTTGAACGGGGAAGCGAAGCCGGAAATGGTGGAGTCGCGACCGATACACAACTGCAACCAAATGCTGCTCCCAATAATTTACAAGGAGAAGGTACGGATGATAATAAAAAGAAAGAAATTGGCACGAGTTCGTCCGCAGAACAAGGAAATAAGAGTGAAGAAGATTCCGCCCAGAAGACCACGACGACCACGACTACACAGGCACCAACCACGACCACAACGACCACCACAACGACGACCACGACTACAGAGGCGCCAACCACGACGAGCACCCGCGCACCGTCACGTCTCCGCGAAATCGACGGCAGCCTCAGCAGCTCTGCGTGGGTGTGTGCCCCGCTGCTGCTTGCCGTATCCGCGCTGGCGTACACCACTCTGGGCTGAAGAGGTGTATTGTGGGCTGTGCGTGCCAGCACTCAACCACGGGGACATGTGTGCGTCTACTGTGGTCCGATATAAATAAATAAGAGAAAATAATGATTGTGCTTTGCTTTATTTGCTTCCGCTGCCCTGCTGTGTGCTCCATGTTGTTCCTACCTGTATCCGTCACGTTGAACGCAATCCGGAGACACACTCATGTGCAAAACAGGTATACAACTGTTTGCGTGAACGCATTTTTGGGTGCTGGTGCATGCGCACTGGAGCCATACTGTGCAGCTTCCTTTTTTTTGTGTTTCTAGTTTTTTTTTTTTTTTTTTTTTTTTTTTTGCTTCTTTACTTTTGTTTTGTTTAATTTTTTTATTTAATTGTTTTGTTGTTTTTGCTGATTAATTACTGCGGGTTGTGTGTATTTTGCGTTTTCCCTCTCACTGATTCCAACTGCCTCATGGTGTGTGCTACTTCTGATGGGCTGCTGGCATTTGTCACTGTGCGCTGCCTTATGGTGTTGCAGCTGCCATCATTTGTCGCTGTGCGTGGTTGTGTGAATTGTCTTTTCTTTTTGCTTTCGCTCTGCGTTGACGGGGAGTTAGTTTGTGCTGAAGGCTGCATGCAATTGACAGGAGTGATGGCGATGATGATGAATGGCCGTGTGCTGCTGGTGTGTGCCCTCTGCGTGCTGTGGTGCGGTGCGGCGGTGGTGGAGTCGGTTGTCGATGGTGTTGTCGATGGCGGAGTAAATGAGGGTCCATTGGGAAGTTCACAGTCTGATTCTAGAGAGGAAAAGGCAGGAAAACCGGAATTATTTGAGTCAGTCGATGAGGGCTTAGGGTCCGCGGATCACTCGTTGGATACACGTTCAGGAAATAACGTCAATGAGCAAGGGAACTTGGTCAACGAACCACCAACAGAGAATGTTGGGAAGAAAGGAGTACAAGAAGAAGGTAATGAATTACCGGTAACACACATATCTCGAACAAAGGATAAAGTAACACTACCACAAACATCACCACCACCGACGCCAGCAGGAGAAGAACCACAAGCAACATCACCATCACAAGCATCCGGTGTCGGTGAAGGCGATGGTGGTCCCGTTGGGATTGAAGGTACCGGTCGAAATGTTAGTGATGGCAGTCTTGTTGGTGCTAGTGACACTTCTCGTGGTACTCGTGATAAAAAAAAGATCCTAAAGGACGTGAAGGTCCCGTTTCCGGGCCACCTTCCGGTGGTGCTTCTTCATCTCCCATTTCCAACGATGGAGATGCTTCACGGAATAATGGCGGTGCACCATCCACTCAGGACACGAAATCTTTAAAAAACGATGAGCAGTCAGGGCCAACAACATCTTCAGGGAACGCACCGCTCAACAGGGAGACACCGGAGAAGTCAACACCCGATGCACAACGGCACTCCTCTGATACACAAGAAAATGAAACGGGTCAAACTGCTGATGGGGATGCAGCTCACAGCGCCGCGGGGCAGAGTGCCATGGGGACGAAAGGCTCTTTCGGCGTATCGACTACCGCCAGCAACGCACCAACACCACCTCAACCACAACTGCCAGCACCACCAGTACCACCAACGGCGACAGTAACGGGAGCACCGGCAGAAAAACCAACTGCAGAACGCTTACCACCACCGGCATATTCAGCAACAAAAGAAGGCCTAGCAGCAACAACTACAGCTCAAACGAATGATACGGCGACACCTGGCGACAGTGACGGCAGCACCGCGGTCCCCCACACCACCTCCCCTCTTTTGCTTCTTCTTGTTGCGTGTGCGGCTGCTGCTGCGGTGGTGGCCGCGTGAGAGTGAGTGAGAGAGAGCCGTGCACCGCCCGCACACACACTCGTCATTCTCTCACTCTCTGTGTGTGTCCCCTTGCATGGACTCTCGCCCTCACCTCACCCCACGAGGCACACACATAATGTGCCCATTGTATATATGCATGCACACCCATGCATGCCCGTTGGTGCTCTCTTTTGCAGCACACGCACCGCTGCCGTCTTGCCTGACTGCATGGGCGGAGCACCGTAACTGTTTCTGTTTTTGTTTCCATTGCATTGAGTGGGCGACCTCTCTCTCTCTCTCTGTGTGTGTGTGTGTTTTGCTTTACGGGAGCAATGAGAGTGTGTGCGCTGGTAGTCCCACGCTTCGGCTTTTTTTTTATTGCTTTTTTTTTTTTGTAATTTTTTTAATTTTTTTCCTATTTGCTTTAAATTTTTTTGCTGCTCTTTTTTTGTTATTAATTTGTGCATTTTAAATTTCTCACCCCCATCCCTTCGTTTTTTTTTTTTTTGCTTTCGGGGGCAATCACTATGGACGCCTTTTCTTTTCTGCTCTTCCAGCAAACACACGGAAGTATTTGCACAGTGCTCTGCAGTAATGTTTGGCGAGGTTAGGGACGTTGGCTTGCGTCCCGTGCTGAAATGATGGCGTGGCTGCACGATGCCCGCCATGCATGAAGGTGCTGCCTGCTCTTGGGGACATTCTCCTCTCCTCGTTGTTTTTTCTCTGCCGGGTGCGAGCGTTGCTTTGTGTGCTGGCGCGTGACGGACGGTGCCACGATGCCCTTCTCTGGCAATGACAGTCGCTGTGTTCTCGGCACACACCCACACACTCTTTCTTGTCTCTCTGTGGGAGTGATTGCGGCAGGGCATTGCTGCGAGCGTGATGGGGACCACGACGGCGTCACCCCTCGAGAAGGTCCCGCGCACTGTCAGTTGTGGAGCGGCGAGGCGGTTTGCCTGCAGCCCGACTGACAGAACCGCACAGTCGTTTCATTGCGGTCACTCCGTCGGCATCACCCGCTGCGGTGGTGTGCGCAAAAGCCGCAGCCCCGATGAGGATGGCCTCGTAGTTGTCTGGCAGCTCAGAACTTCCGGCCCTTCGCCCTTCAGGATTGCCCTTGCTGCTCGACTGGCGCAGCACCAGCCCGGCATGGTTCTTCTGCAGGAGTGCGGGCACGAGAGTGCCCCAGCGACGAGGCTCATTGGCTGCGGTGTCTTCCGCCAGGCCTGCAGTGGGCGTGCCGGTGGCGTGGCCTTTTTGGTGCGCCACACCCTGCCGTGCGAGCGCCTGTCGCTCGTGGCACCAACTGCCTGGAGGCGACCGCCTTCCGCGTGCGCCCACCGGCCTGCCCCAGCATCTACACGGTGAACCTCTGCAGCCTTCCCACGGCAATGGCTCACGCTGCTCACTTTGCGGGCAACATTCGTCGCGTAGGCCATGCAGCGGTGATTTGCGACCTGAATCTACACCATGAGCTGTGGGACGGTTGCTCACCATCCACGACGGCAGTAGAGGACCTCGCCGCCACCCCAAGCGGCATGGAGGTTGGGCTGTCCCACAACCTGGCACAGGCAACGCGGATCAGCGGCCGCAGCGTCTCGTTTCCAGACGTGACTGCGCAACGCGTACTTCGTGTCTCCCACTGGACGTCCACCCGTTCACATGGACTCGGACCACCATCTGTCATCCCACACTGCAGGGACGGAGGACGGCATCCCGCGACAGGCAGGCATGCTGCCACAACGAAAACATGTCACCATTTCCCTGCGTGAAGCTGACTGTGATGCTTGCACCTCGGCGTGTGGAACACCTCTGTCCGCTGTGACCACATGGTTGGAGATGCACCAAGGCACCGTACGAGCGGCAGCCGTGACAGTCCCACAGGAACCTGTACGGACGGAATGGAGCAGGCCGAGTGTGTTGCAGCGGCAGCCTGCCACGAGCTGAAGTGCTCCGCAAACGGGAGGACTGCAATCATGCCCTCCGCCGTGGCTTCTCCATGCTGCCAGTGGTCCGTGCGAAACAGCTTGGTGCCCTCTCGATCCCAGGCCTGTGATACCCCGAGGCATGGCGGCGCCACGTCCCTGCCCTCTGGGATCGGCTGTGCTGCGGTGCTGTTGGGACTGCGTCTGTGCTCTGCCTCCGCCGGAACATCTTCCCGACGTGAGCACCGCCACTCCTTGCCGACCAGCAAGCGGCTGATTGACGTCCTCCTGCCCACTCCTCGGCATACCGGCACGCGCCCTGCAGGTCACAAGCAACCCTTTATGTCGGTGGTGCTGCCCTCCCTCACACTGAAGAGGCATGACCGCCCCGACCGCCGCCGGAACCTCCACCTGGCGTGTCCACGGCATCTCCTCGTAGAATGACGAGCAGCAGATCAACGTCGCCCTGCCCAAGCTGCAGCAGCGTCTTCTCGTCCGTCCACAATATGAAGGCACACGCCCGACGCACTAACCCTGGCACGCCAATCGTTGCAGAAGGCCTCACACGTGGATTCTGCGACAGCTCCACGGTCTTCCCAACAAGTGCCTCACGCGCAGGTCACTACCGAAAATGTCAAGCGTATCAACGAGCAAAAAACGGACAACGCACCTCTGCAAGCTCCAATGACAGCCGTAGCCCTTCAGCCACTCCTCCGCTGCAACCACCACCAGCCGCTGAGCCCCCGACAATACACGGGAAGGTCTGCCGCACACGCTGTGGAAATGCCACCGTCCTCGACAACTGAGCATCCGACTATTTGGGAACACACCCTCTCGCACGACAGCATCGTTCAGAAAAAAGAAAAAACTGGCCACATCGCTACGGACAGCCCGCAGGCCATTAACGAACAGTGGCAGCAAAGTATAACGAAACAAACATTTCCCTCTTCTCAGCATAGAAAAACGTCACCTTCACACTCGCAATTGCCACCAATGAATTCATTGCGCAATACCGCTCCGAGCTGCAATACTTCCTGGTACCATCCAGGTCCCTTGTCGACACATTGATGCGGATGGGCGCCCATCCATTCCTCCCGATGACGGTGCATCTCCGCGACGCACCCTCAGATCCAAAAAGCACGTCCCTCACCACAGCCGGGATCGAATTCGCCCTGTGGGCACGCATCGCTTTGTCAGAGGAGCAGGAGTACGTCAGGCTGGCAGCAAAGCACCCGCCGCCACAACACATCAAAAACATCATCACAACCAGAAGCACCAGCAGCAATGCAG